AACTAAATACTGTTATAAACTGTAAAGAGACTGACCTCTCTTCTCAACGAAGTAGGACATTAAAATCAGCACTTTTACTTAGTACAAAAACCAAGGAATAAAAAAGCTACTTTAAAATAATCAGACTGAAACTAAAAATATCTCCACACACATTAAATGATTTTATATTGAAACATGAGAAGAAAAAGTATAGAAACAGAACTTTTAAAAATGGTCCAAGAGCAAGTTGAAACATAGTCACTAAAATGCTTTCTAAGTACCAACATGCATCAGATTACCTAGTTTATATAGATACACTACACTAACCCCTAAGTGAAGCTAGGCAGCTTGTTTCGTGTTTGTTGTGGCATTTCAGGAAAGTATGATTATACCCATCATCAAGCATGATTCTCTAATATATGTGCAATATTATGTTTTTTAGGCCATGCAAAGTGGAGTGGATAACTACACATATAACTGGATAATGTACTACTACTTTGGCTGCTATAGATTATAATACATTAAATAATGTTGCTAGAATTGTAACATCAAAAAGTAACTTTCAAATAGGAATTCAAAAATATATTATCATAATATACACCACCAATCAAGAGCAAGATGATAAAAAAAAGGAAAGCACCATGCTTACAACTCTATGAATAAAGGCTCCAAATCTAGGCATTCTGTTGAGCTGAGGAATCTAATGATGGGGTTTATCAACATCATTTTTCTGTTGTTATATGTCAGTATGTAAAAAATATTTATATAAATACATATAATGTGGTAAGGTAGAAGGAATGGTCAAAGATTCAGGTATTTAGGTTATCTTGACTATTTCTCTAAAACTCAAAGTATAATCAGTATTAAGGAACACTGCTATAAGCTGGCAAAGATTCAAAAATAAGTACTTGCTGGTACTTGTCACATAACAAGCCTTATCTTAACAACAGATGATTAAATTATTTGAATTTCGTAAGGAAGAATTAATCTTAGAAACAGTAAGAAAACTCATCATTAATGGGTACTTGTGTGTTTTAATGGACAGGCTAAAGATGTTAGACAGAGAAAATACTTTAAAAAGAAATCTGAATACCTGGGAAACAAATTTCCTTATTAGGATATTGATAAAATAGAGGAAATTGTCATGAGAAGAAAATGCAACCCTGCAATTTCAAGCTTGGAATATGAAACAGATACTCACTAAATGCCAAGTTTTCAGCACACATTCTACAAAATAATACTCTCTTTATTCAAAATTTCTTGGTACTCAAGGTTCCAATAATATCTGTTTGCTGTTTCCCAACAAAAGCGTGCCAGGTATAATTAGCCTTGGACAACACTATGAACACTGTATTTTCTAAAGTAGGGAAATACACAATAAGAAAGATTCAAAACAAATCTACATGTCCTTAAAGTAACCAGAAAATCTTTCTTTTTACCTTTAACTACTAGATGTTGCTGCTTTTGTCATCAGAAACTCAGAAATAAAAGGGAGAAAAAGGAAATAAAAAATATACAATGAGAACAATTTAATTATAACAATATTATTCTCAATAAAACCAGTGACTGAAAACTAATTTTGTCTACCAGTTACATTGGTATGCAACTAGAAAAGCATTCCCAGGAAAACAAAAGCTAACAGCTCATTCTTACCTCTGTATAACGGCATGAAAACGCTTTGAAAGTATAAATTATCAGTGATATGCTTTTGCTATTGGTAACAGTACTTTAGGACCTCAGGGCAGTAGATGTTTTTGGCAGTGAATCCTGACCAAGAAGAACGAGAATGTTAAGCATGATGTTCTGCTGCCCACTGCAAGGTCTCATTAAAGACAAATACAGGCTTATTTGTTGCTTCCCCTATCCAAAAATTAAAATGATCCTGTCTGTTAATGCTTTAGTATTTATTATCAAGAAGCCCCTAAACACTGTAACAACACTGGCAGGGCAGATGGAAGGGGAGTGGAACACCACAGCAGACAAGTAAACTAGAAGCTTGTTGGTAAAAGGTGCTGAAATGATTTCAGCACAATGAAGAAGCTATGTAACAAGTACCAGCATGTACTTTCTGAGAAACACATACAGCTAAGTGGTCACTATCAACTGACATATCATCACAGACACACTCTTACATTAAAGCACCAGCCCATATTATGACTGTCTTTTTTAAAATGTGACACCATTAGCAATTCCATGTGTCAAATCCCTCTCTGCAGAAGTTGGTTATAAACTAAGGTAAACCTATGCTTTCTCTCTGCAACTCTACAAAAAAAAATTGAATCTGAATCCCAGAGCCCCCCAATACTTTCCTCTGGTTTCCCTAATCCTTAGCTCTAGCTCTCCGTTATATTCAGTATCTGATTACATGACCACTTATAAAAAGGGGAGTGAGAACTTGACCTAAGGAGTCTCCGTTGAGAAAAGCATAAGCAAATGAACATTCTGAGCTCTTCCCATAAAATTCACTCAAAACACAAGAGCTAAACTCTGCTTTACATTGCTACATAATAATTTACCAAATAACTATCTTTTCTTCCGAAATGTATTATGAACACATATAAGGCAGTCTGTCCCAAGTAAACTCTAAGTCTTCCAGAAGAGAACAGGGCTATTACAACCATAATTTGGTATTTTCCTATAGTCTCAGGAAAAAACAGCTTTCATTCTTGGGCATGACAAAAGCTGGGAAGCTTTCTTAAGAGGACAGAACGGAAAGGAACATGTGACTTACACTAGGGCAAGATCAGCACCTAGGATCAGCTGCCATATAACAAGACCTATAGCAAAGGCTAGCAAGGCTAGCAAATAATCTTCTTAGGAAAAGAAGCATTTTAAAAATTATGTATCTTTCCAAGAGTTCACAATAAGCCACCTATCAGCAAATAAAGTGAGATAAAAAGCTGGTGGTGGCAGTTGCTCTTGTAATTATTACTAGTCTCAAAAACTAAGTTTTCTCCTCTAATTATGTACTTAATTTGGAGGAAAGCTATGCTCTTCCCTTAGTTTGCCATCTACCAGCAATTTTATACATTGTCATAAATTAAGAAGGGAATAAACAACAATATCTGCTCACTTTATTTCTCAAATGTGTTGGAAAAGAAAATGACAAAAGTGTTGATCATCAATTAGAGGAAAGAAGGTCTGTGTATATGTAATTTGGTAGAAGTAGATGTACCACTAACCCACAAAAAATCTGTCAAAAAGAGGACAAAGAACAAACCAGTAGCTGTGTTCCAGCAAATGAAACAGATTTAAAAGGCAGGTTTTAAGGATACTGGTACCACTCAAGGAAGAAGGAAAGAAGGAAATGTGGGAGAAACTGACACCACTGTACACACATGAAGAGCTCAGAAAGACAGAACAAAGAGGCCAGAATGAGTATGTTAAGATCTACTGCACTCACTGAAAACTAAGAAAAGAAATCTGCTTAGTCAATCTTACATATTGTTATAATATATATTCATTTTTATTCTTAAACATTGTCACTTGAACCTCCATAAATTCTCACTTCTCTAGCTAACTCCCTCCCAAAATATTTGTGATTCTGAATAAAATTACTATATCTAAAGTGCTAAAAGTGACCTGAAGTGGGGAAAATAAGACTTGAAAAATTCCCAGTAAGAAACGTTTTTACAATCTAAGCAGTCATAGTAAGCTTAAAAAGAGAATTTAAAAAATCATTACAAAATAATAAACCAAGTCCTCTTTCCTAATGTAAATTATGTGCTCTTCCCTTCTGTACATTCTTCTAGGACACATGAGCTTTAAACTGTTTTTCTAAAAGTAGTAATGCCTCTGCAATCATCTACAGTCCACAGTGGATCAACAATACACATTTGTGAACTGGCTGGGAATGAATGTGCAATCTGTACTCAAGCTGACCCAAGTAAAGCTAACAGACTGTCTAAAAAGTGAACCCATAACCTTTGTCTCATTAGCACTGCACTCCAGCTGTTACAGATTCAAATACTAACTTGAATTTGGAGCGGTGGGAGGAGGGAGGGCAGTAAAATGCTAACAACAGGGAGAAAATTTATACAGCCAAGTCTATGCAAAATTGTCTATTAATGGAAACCAGCTGAAAGAATAAGAGATGTAGTATTCAGTATTTGAGCCTGGTGGAATCCTAATGGGCTTTTTCTTTTCCAAGTTTCCATTCTGAAAGGAAGGCTCTTTAATTCATTATTCCCTCAGAGATCCTGGAACTCCTAAGAATTACCTTTCTAAAATAACTGATCTAGACTCCAAATTATCTATTAGGAGATACATGCTGTAGCTTTCAAGCCATTCAAAGCCATTTTTTATGTAAGAAGTCATGCATCCCCCAAAGGAATATTATGATCAATATTCTGTTTTAAGTATGTGATCCATAAGACCTGTAGCAACAGCCTAACTCAAAGTTGTAAAATTTAGACTTCAATTCAATATCACAACAATTTACAAAACATTGTGATTAAATATTCACTACTGGTTGCTTCTATCATAATTCCATTTTGATCACCACACTTTACTCTAACATTTGGTAAATATTTTTTCCCAAGCTTGGTTAATTAAGCTTTATCTCACAAAGTTCATAAATCAATTGACTTAATTTATGCCACCACCTGCCCCCAACACCAGTAACAACAGAAAAGGTATTTACACGCACACACATACACATATGGACTGTGTTTTCATGACATGGCTACCAGCTCTCCCAGTATAGATCTTATGTAATATCTGGTTTGTACAGAAACTGCCCCTAGGAAATTCAGTCAGTGGCTTTAACCATAACAAAGAAAATCAATCACATAAGCTTTGGACTATAAATAGATGAATAACCATTTCACATGCCAGTATAACTCAGAAATCCTAGGTTTAGGTGGAAGAAAGACATAATCCCTAGAATCCTGAAGGTTGAATGATTTCTGTAAAAAATACCTCTGCACCCTAGATAAGAGGCAAGAATATCTGCATCAAGTTACCATCATCTCAAAAACCATTAAAAAACTGGTTTCAAAATGAAAAAGCAAGAAACAAACCTCAATTTTGTCTGTTTTGGCATCTCCCCAGTATATTTTGCTTTCGTCATAATCCAAGGCTAAGCCATTTGGCCAACCAAGAGAAGTGTTAACCAACACTACTCTGTCAGAACCATCCAGAGCTGCTCGCTCAATTTTCGGGATTTCTCCCCAGTCAGTCCAGTACATGTACCTATAGAAGTACACAGAAAATGAGCTAAAAACAGATAATAAACTGTAACTTTCAGATACCCTAAAGGTAAGATCCACCCCTCATATCCCAATGGTTTCATCAGTTAACCCCACAGAAGGAAAACACAGGACTTAAACATACCAAAAGTATGTTCAAGACATTTATAATAGTGTATAAACTTACTGGAAATTTTCAAATCAGTGTTTCCTAGAACTTGCAATGAAAATGCCTTCCAACAATGACATTCCATTTTTAGTTATGTTTTTCCAAAATATTCTATGCTCCTTCCCATGAACAATCCCGTCTTTTTCCTGCTGGCTTGTCATCTCTGACACAAAAAGATTATCCCAAAAGTAATACTCAGATGACAAACTGAATTCCCAAAGTAACTTACTTTTCCTGTAGTGCTTTATGTGACTGCTGTGGCTCCTGGGAGTTTAAGTGGCTCTAAGGCATTCGTATACAAGGAAGTGTAATAAACTATCACGATGTTTGTCCTCACAATGAATCTCATGGACACAATTCACATTGGTGAGTATGTAGAAAGCTGTGTTTACCTGGACTGCAATATGTTATGCTTATCCCCAGCCCCCAAAACAAGACTGGGAGTAGAGCTGCAAAGCCTGACAAAGATTTGGAGACTTGAGTCATTCATATATTTGGGGATACAAAGTAAGATATATTCTTTACCATATCTTTCTAGAAGTATTGAACATGGGATGAAATTAAGTCTTCTAGGGGGAGGGAATGAGTTCTGAAAACAATTTCTTTCTACATTTTTCATGGTCACGATGCAACCTTGGCAAAATCTGCAGCCAACACCCAAAGTCAGCAAGCATGGACTTAATTTAGAAAGAAAAAGTATTCAAAACATTCAAGGAAAAAAACTAGCAATTCTTTAACTTGAGATTTTATTCCAGTCATTATATTCTAAAAACAAACAGCCATTAAAGAGCTGTTTATTGGAAACCAAGACATGCTTCATAGTGCTTTTGTCAATGTTTTTAGGAACCTGTAGAAAACAGAAACACCAGGCAAAATTTTCTTTCAGCAGAGCTTCTTACCCAACCATAGGATCTAACACAATAGCCCGGGGTTCCTCTAAGTCCTCTGAAATCAAGATCTTCCTCATGGTCCCATTGAGCCTTGTCACTTCTATCCGGTCAGTGCCAGTGTCTGTCCAATAAAGATTTCGGGCAACCCAGTCAACAGCAATACCATCAGGATGTGCAATTTGAGCAGTGACCACAAACTGACTGCCAGATCCATCTATGAGCGAGCGGCGTATAGCTCGCACTTCATCATCAGTCCAGTAGATATAGCCTTCCACGGGATCATAATCTATGGCAATGGCATGACGGATATCTTCTAACTGGAGAACAATGTCTGTGAAATCTGGGGTATCCAAAGAAATACGTCTCAAGTCTGTCCTTCGGGCTAAAAGCAGTAATTCAGTGGCTCCTAGAACAAGAAGTAAATGAAAAGAATTGAAACCCTAACAGGCAAAATTTAGCCACTCTAAAAAAACATTGCAATTCTTCAAGAATTGAAAAGCAAATGAATATAGAAGGATACTAGTGTCTATTTAAGGTGGAAATAGAAAGCAGTAAAGTCAAACAGGAACAGTTTGACTAGGAGGTCAAGCTCTGTAATGGCTGAGCTCTCCAAATTGTTCTGACCATTTCTCTGGTTTCTTTCATTATATAGCTCCTGGAATTAAAAACAACTACTTAAAAATATAATGAACAATAAATAAGTAATAACTAAGGAGTGTGGTAGCTGAATAATAAAGGAGGAGGGAGACATAGGATATAGGTCCTTTGTTTAACAAGTATATTAAGAAGGTGAAGAAATTTAGGACAAGGATCTCTTGGGATGGATGAGAATGTTCTATGGTTGGGGTATGATGGTTGCACAACTCTGTGAATTTACTAAAAAGTCACCGAATTTACACTTCAGATGGCTTAATTTTATGGTATGCAATTATATCTCAGTAAAACTGTCTTAACAAAGAGAATTACAAGGCAATGCCTGACAGAATTCAGGACAAAGGAAGCTATGGAGCAGGCATCAGCAGCAGTAGGCAGAGAGAATCAAATAAACGACACAGTGGTTAAAGGTACGAGTTGTGGATCTGACAGAACTGGATGCAAGTTGTTATACAACCTTAGGCAATACACCTAACCTCTCTAATCCTAGTTTCTTCATCTATTTTCTCAGAGGGTTGCTGTGAGGATTAAAGGAAATAAATGTAAAACTCAGGAATGTACTGAACATATAAGTGCCCAGTAAGCATCAACTGATACATTATCATTAAAAAATACTTTAAAATTTTTATTTCACTAAGGTTTATTTATGAATTGTTTTTAACCCAAATAATATTAGATAAAAACACAACTAAGAATAAGGATATTAAACTCATTTTTTTGTTTTTATTTTTAATGTTCAAATAAACCACTAACAAAATATCATTAATTATAAGAGCTGATAAAAGACAGTAAGCAAGTTGACATCTAAAAGGCTGAAAAAAATTCCCAAATGAGCCTAAAAGAAAATGCTGGCATTAAACTTCAAGCATCAACCTGGAATTACAGTTGAAAAACTGAGGAGTGATGTTCTCAACATCAGCTTTTTGACTCTAGTTTTTTGACTCAACATTTAGCTTTCTGACTAATTATAAATGAACTTTATCTTGGAAAAAATACAGCCCTAAATGCCATACAGGCACCAAGTGGGAATAACTTTGTACAACTGACTGCCTCTGCTAACTACCAAAGGGAGCCAGTCCAAAAATCTGCAAACAAAGAAGTCATAGAAAATGAAGCTGTTAATTTGAGCAAGGTGATCAAAACAGAATAGTTAACTGAAGGCTACTACGTTCCAAACGTATATCTGAAATTCGAAATACTAGTTAAACATGCACTGCTGTGAGGGAGTAGACAGACTATTATTGCTAAAATAAATTCTATTTTATATAGTCAGGCTATACTTTTAAACAAAAAAAGCAACAGTACAAAAACCTTTTGTTTTAAATTGAAACCAAATTATTGTTCACCATGGAAACTGTCTGACAGGAGTCAGCCAGCTTCACCTTTGACTATGAGGATAATTTATCAGTGCCAAGTCATGACAAATATCCTGTACACTGACTCAATTTCATCTATCTGACTCCCTGCCCCCCTTGCCAGAAACTCTCTATCCCACTCCAAAATAAAGGCTTCTGCTTCTCAGAGTTAGATAAAGAAGCCATTGCTAAATGTAACAATTTTCTTACCAGGTCTTGCTGGTGGCTAGAAAACCAGATGGTGATCCATAGGGATAAGAATGAAAAACAACATTCTCATTAAGAAGAAAGAGAGAACTGGTGCTCTCCCAAACCAGAAGTCCCTTGAAATGTCCTAAATCAGTGTACTTCAACATGCCCTCTCTCTATGGGGAATTAAGAGAGTAAGGAGAAGAGGCAGTGTGGTTATGCACAGAAAGAAGTTGCTTTAAATAGTACAATATGGAATGTTTTTCTTCTTTGGAAAGCACGTCTCTGTGGTTAAAAGGCAATTAAAAATATCATCCAATCCTTTCTTAGAAAACATATTTACCCCATGATAGTCTTTATAGTTAAAAGTTTAATGAACATCTCTTCCTTGCACAGAGGTTCTTTATTAACAAGTGCTACCTACTAAAGGAAATGTATTCTTTATGAGAATACTCATTTCCACAAGAATCAATTGTGGTATCAATGACTATGAGATTTGATTTTAAAAAAGCACCTAATTTCTTTCAAAAATAGCATATTAAAAATTTAATTAAAATACTGAAATAATTCACAAAACAGTATTCAAGAGATGCCATAAAGCACAGAACACTTATATAACCAGTTGTGAAGACTAAGAGATTAAGGGATTAGTCTCCCAAAGCACTGTATAAACATATAAAGCTTATTACAGAGAAATAAAATAATTCATAAAGAATCCAATTGCCATCTAAAATTGCTCCTTCTTGCAGACCATCTTCTTACCATCTTTGCAGGTTTTCCCATTCTCCAGGAGTTTGACCCCAGTTGGGCAAGCACACTGATAAAAAGGCTTGACTGGAGACATCAAACACAAGTGGGAACAACCACCATTATCAATTCCACATGGATTTGTAGCTGTCAAATATAAATCACACTGATTAATACCAATGATTATGGGTGCCCTCCCTCGCTCTAGGTACACAAAGGTTAACAACCATAACATGAGCAACTGTGATATGATAAACCAAATTATTACCAAATGTCATCCAGGTGCTTGACTACCAGACCATCTGCAAGGATGGGAACTAATCAGTGAGAACTTACTTAGTATTTTGTATCCAACAGGAAAACACAAGAAATAAAGCAGCAGGTCCCTGCCCCAAAAGAGCTTACAATCTAGCCAGTGTGCCAAAATTAACAAACAATAAAACTGGAAAACAACACAAAACAATGAAACTACATGCTGTCTTGTACATTACAGAGTCAAATGAGAAATAAGTCACTGAGGATTAAAGAACTTAAGAAAAATTTTATGAAGGGTGTAGAACATGACAGCAGCCTTGAAGGACAAGAAGAACAGAAAGGAGGACATTTCAAGTGAGGTAAAACCTTATGAATAAGGTGAAGGCTGTACATTGGGTGAAACAATAAGGCAAATAACTGGAGGTTAAGGTTTCTGTTGACTAAAAGAACTAAAGGTGAATGAGCACAGAGAACGGCAATAGCCTGGTGAAGGGCAATGAAAAACAAGAAAAGTAATTACAATGTCAAAAAATCACATTTTGGAAAGATTAACACGTAAAAGATAACAGATTATGCTATGTAAAAGCATAAAAGATTACAAGAGGGAAAACTGAGAAGCAGAAATTAATTGACAAATCTGTAGAAACTATGGGAAGGGATGGATTTAAACTAATATTCATAGAAAAAAATCAACATAAGATGGAGACCAACAAAATACAAAAGATAAAAGAAAGCATTATCACAAATAAAAAGAGTGACACTAAAAATATTTTTAGAGACTCATAATCATCAGATTCCAAAAAATGACTTTCAGTATTCGACTATCTCCCCCTAAGTGGAGGGAGCTAATACGAAACAATGCATAAACCAAAAATCCTTCATTTTTGGCAAAGGGATAAAATCTGAAATACACTCAGGCACATGCCAGACATTTATTTACACACAAGTGCCAAACACTTAACATTCTCATATTCCTTTTAAACATAATTCTACTCCTCTCTTACAAGAAATTGGCAGCCATTACAGCCCAAGTCACCATAAAGGATGACCAAAAATAGAAGCAAACTAAGAAAAAGGAGTGTACACAGAAGAGTTTAAGCAGGCATTTTATTCAGCAACCTGAGGTGCTTAACATTCACCACTTAGATTAACAGAGGTTTCCATTCAAGAAGAGTTATTTGTTTTTAAACACACTCACATGACCAAAATCAAACACACATTAGAAAGAAATAATATGAACAAAAAATGCATTTGTGTATAAGCTTAGCATAAGAGCTATCTCAATTTCTTATTTTATTTCTCCACCTGCATAACCCCAGACCCAAACAAGGAGCTAAGTTGGTCAGTAGTAATAGATATCAAGCTACAAATGGGGTAGGCCGTTGTTTGACCTGAATTATATTTTGACGTTTGCCTATTTTTTTTACTTCCTCCCATTACTTTTGGTATGTCCTCCTTCCCCTCACTAAAGCCAGACATCTGAGTGCTACAAAGCTATTCCAACTTGCAATTTAAAAATGAAGATCACTTACCATTTGGCTGCCTATGTTGGCTGAAGGCATGTATATCCATGGGAGAGAAGATGTTAGAATGGATTTCACGCAGACCCTCGCCAGTGTACTTGTTACAAGCCAAAATGGAGTGTGTATTCCAGTCAGTCCAGTACAGTGTGTCCTCAAACAATGTCAAGGCAAAAGGATGTGGAAGGGAACCTTTAACCACTGCCTGCCTATTAACACAAAGAGAAAAACTCAAACATTCCTACATTTTCTTCTCTTATCAAAACCTCATCTCTCCTACTAAAATGGCCTTGTAGTCCACATTAACACATACAAATCCTGAATGTAACACATATCTTAAAGTCAAATACACCTATGAAAAATAAGTCACACAGTAAATTCAAATATACTTTCATGGTGTCCAAAACCTCAACCAAGTACTTCAAATGGTCCCCAACTTAGCAGCAGGCCCCAGGTTCACAAGCTAGCAGATGGAGAAAAGGTCCAAGTATTGGAACTGCTGTCAATTCCCAATCCCTGGACTCACATCTTCCATCCTTCCACATAATTCATGTTGTTAGGAGAAAGGGCAGCAAAAGAAAAAAACACAGGGTTTACATTTGGCACTGGGAAGTAGTTTTAAATCAGCAATAGCTTTTTCCCTTCTTGTCGTGGAAGAACAAAGAATCTGAGCCTGTTTCTTCCATCACTTCTTATGGTTCTCATGAACGAACGAACGAACGAACAAACGAACGAACGAACGAACACACACACACACACACACACACACACACACACACACACACACACACACACACACGGCTAAAAAGGCTTCTGGTAGACCTCTCTCTGCAAACCCCAACCTAATTCCAGAAAATCATCATCTATGCTGCATTTGTTACATGGCTACTTAACCTCCACAAACCAGGTAGCAAGAAAGCAGACCCAAAAATTTCACAAGCGAGCCATACTATATGAAAGGAAAGGTTTCATATAGTAGAGAACCTGATTTTTCGCAAAGCTCAGAACTTTGCAGTGTCATGGAGAGTTATATAATTAGTAAATATTCTTGAATAATGAACACATCATGTTTTGAGCCAAAATAATCAAGGAAATAATGCTTTGATATGTTCATAAGATCAAATCTAGTATTTTCTGAAATAGCCCAGCTGGGTGGAAGGGAAGGAGGGAAAATGTAAGCAACTGAAGAGAAATAAGGAATATCACATATTTTAGGAAGATAATCCAATTTTTAGGTCCGTGATCTCTAATATCTAAGAGACTAACAGTATACTAAATTAAATTCAAGAGTAGTGAGATAATTTTTATCTAAACAAAATTAGGTTGTTATTGATGTGGAATGGTCCTAGCCCAAGGTGTTTTAAACTCAAGTCAGATTTTTTTAAAACTGAATACAAGATTAGCATGACTAGTTTACCAAACTTTCTATTTTAGAAACTCATATCTATCTGCCAGCCCACCTCAGCAATGTCTACTTCAGCTGTGGTTTCTTCCACTTTTTAAATGAACAGCTTTATAAAACTTAATAAAGTGGTTATGTTATTTATAAGAGTGATATCATACTTTAAGTCCAACTTTAAATAGGCCTGCCTATTTCACACTAATGTCTTCCAAAATTCACTTTGGTAAGACACAGAGTTCCAAGAAGCTGCCAAGAGAAGTAACACAACTGAAAAATAAAGAATAGTAAAAACAAAATTACTTAGCACTGCATCACTCATCTTAAAGAATTCCAAGTAGCACAATCAGATCTTTGAAAAACTGTGGGAGAAAAAAGCCTTCTAAGTTCTTTATATATACTAAAATAAAATGTTGAAATTTGTTCTAATGAATTACACAGGAGAATAAACAGGTAGGAAAAACAAAATCCCTCCCTAGAAGACGTACTTATTTTATATACTGACTGAAAGTATTTACATATTGATAAGAAATCAAATAGAGTTCAGATGTCCCTGACACTTACTGCTTGTTATCTTTTTGCAAGCTTTGCTTTCCTCATCTGTAAATGGAAGATAATAATCTAATCATACAGAGTTACTGTGAAGACTAAATAAATGCAAAGCATTTAACATTATGCTTGGTAATTAATAAGCATTTCAGAAATGAGCCCTCAATTTTAGGATACATGTTTTCAGTATCTTAACATTTCTGATATAGGAAAAACACTTTAAAACTAAAGTGAACACTTCATGTGGTAGTTTTTAAATCCATAAAAAGTTCTTAAAACGCTTATTATAATCAAGTAAACACTAGACTCTGGCTTATTTATATTCCCAAGATCTTATACAACACTGTACACAAATTAGGTAGATTTATTAGACAGTGAATGCTTGAAAAATTAAATATTTAAATGAATATGTAATTAACAGAGCTAAACAAAAAGCAAAGCTAAGAAGGCTATCACTAGTTCTTGTCTTATTTTTCATCATTTATTGATTTGTCCAGGCAATGACGACTTGTTCCTGAAAGTGGAGATAAATATACACAGCCTTCATCTTTCTTCTCTCTGGTTGGGATTACCAAGTAGACCTACCTCTTGACATCCCTCCTGAAAACACAAGCCACTTCAAGGAGCAGTTGATCATGGATACTGAGAACACATGTGGTAGGCAAGATCAAAGCCCAGTTCTTCAGTAGTAACCCACAACATTAACAGAGTGAAAAATGGATCCCTACTATGCAGACCAAAGGAAAGAAACTGAGACCCCTGCTGATGTTTTGATTTGGCACTGGCAACTTCTGAGCATCATCTCCTCCCTGTCTGTCACTTTCCGCATCTTGCTGATAGAGCCCACTCTCACCAATACCCTAAGTCCATGAACACACTTGCTACCTCTTTCACATTGCATGCTTGGCAGTTGCCTCATTCAAATTCTGCAGTAACTGTACTTAACTTTTATAAAACACTTGTGCAACTTGCCTTCAGAGTAAACACCCGTGCACTTGCCTTCAATTACTCTGTTTCTGGACTTCTTCCCAGAAAGTTGTCCTCTATTCTGTCTCAGAACTCCCCACATTGCACGGGCACTAAACACTTGTTTAATCATACCAAAGCACTACCGTCACAAATTGTGACACCTGAACCTAA